TTCCCTTCCTGTGACACAAAGGTTGTGTTTTTTCTGTGGCTTCTTTAGTTTATTTTTTTTATCTAATTTGCCACGCATCTCACTGTCAGACCACTCTGGATGGCTTACAATATTAAGATAAAACTTGGGGTATGGGTGTAAAATCACAATAAAGTCATAAATTCTTATACGTCGTGTGTTCAGCTATTGTTTCAATGATGATCATTTGAATTTTTGTCACCATACGTCAAGCAATGTCTATTTTTCATCTCAGTTGCATACTTGGAAGGAATTTTGGTGATGTCAAACTTTGGTGGTGGTGTCTTTTTGAAGTAGCATAATTTGATCTTATACACCAACAATTCATGATCTGAAATGCAATCAGCATCCAGATCATTCTTGCCAGTGAGGACTGAAGTGGACCATTGATGGCTGCATAGGCCATAATCTGATTATGGTGTACTTTATTTGGTGAGGTCCAAATGTATAATCAGCACTTTGCCGTTTGAACCAGATATTCATGATTCAAAATCAATTTTCATGGCAAAATTGAGCCAAATAATCGCCTGCACTGTTCTTCCCAAATCCAAAGCTGCCAGTGATGCCTCTTTCTACTTGGCTGCCAGCTTTTGCATTGAAATCACACAGTATGTAAACAATCTATTGTTTTGAGATGTTCTCCAGAGGTTTTTTTTATGCTGGCATAGAAATCCCCTATTTCAAGCTCTGCGATATCAGTAATTGGGGCATAGACTTGGATAACTGGGATTTTGAGGAGCTTGGTTCAGATTCAGATGGCCATAATGTCAATAACTGTCAATAAACTTTCCACTGCTTGGGCAAATTTATTGTTTTCGATAAATGCTACGCCATTTGTTTTCCTGGCGTTATGTAATAAATAGTGAATTCCTCAGATGGCAAATATCCATTTTCTATCCAGTGTATCTCAGTGGTGCCAAGGAGGATGATTTTCAACCTGACCATCTCCTATTGGATGGTATCCAATTTACCCTGCTCATTTGTCAGACATTCCACATTGCTATCCAATCTGTCTTTGTGTAGCACAGACTCTTGCTTTCACCAATGGCTGCATTAGCATCTGAGACTCCTTCTAGATTTTCCCCAGGTGTGCCATTAATGTTTGATTACTCACTGAAGATCCTTGTGCTTCCCCAGTAGCTTCTTGGGTACCTTTGGGCCTGGGAAGTCCTATTGTTGGGCACCATACCTGATTTATTTGAGAGCCTTCCCATAAAATTTTCTTGGCAAGGTTTTTTACAAGGTAGTTCATCAGATTTTACCTCAACCGTCCCCATTTATCTGAGCTTAGGACCAGTATACAGGTTTATTAATGTGTTTAGAAAAATGGAAATAGTAAGTCTTCACACATTTGTGGCATTCTGTTACAAATTTCTTTTGTTCCCAACAGTTTTCCTATACTCTTTCTTTGTTTCCTCTTTCTTTTTATTAAACTGCTACACTATGCTTCCTTTTTTTTCCTGGATAATTATCAAATGCATGAATGCTCTCTATATCACAAGAGAATAATTCAACGTTTGGCAGAGTTCAGAAGAATTATACCTAGGGTAGTAGTATGTAGCATGGGAGCTTAAGCTGGTAAACATGCTAGTCTATGAAGAGTTGAAGAACAGACATTGAAAAAAACGTTATGAAGATTGATATTAGGCAATAGTATTTTCAGCCAGTTTTCAAAATATGTCATAGTTTAATTTAGGAGGTCTTTAAGCAATGTAAGACGCGTCTGGAGCATTTATTGAAAGCTATGCCTTGCCTTCAGCAAACTGTAACAGAATGTTCTTTCTTGATCATCACTATAGCAATTTGCCAGACAGCCAACACTTCTTTTAATTCCCAACTGTTCTTCCTCAGAGCTGTGTGAATGCAATTTTCCCACAACAACCACCTTGTGAGTGGGTTGGGCTGAAAGAAAATGACTGGCCCAAGGTCACTCAGCTGGCTTTCATAGCTAAGAAGGCACTTGAACTCACAGCCACTTGCTTTCTAGCCTACTTTAAGCACTAGATAATTTATTTGCTGCCCATCTTTGAGTAGCTTACATCAAGATAAAACATTCAATGATTTAAAAAACTTCATTTTTATGACCTTGTAATCTCTTAATTCAGGGTAGAGTCAGGGAGACTGGATGGAACCGAGTGTTTTCTGGCCAGATGTCCTTCCTGACATCATGCGGAGTTCACAGCAATTATTTTTTCTTTGTGCCCTAGGAGAGAAACATCTAGGATTGAACTCTCAACTTTCTAAGTGGGAAGTGAGTGTCTTCACCATCACATCACTCAAAACAAAAATTCAATGATTATAAAAATAAAAACGGATTAAAATTACAAAAATTAAAACAAAAAAATGAGAGTTTGGAGTTAAAAGGTAGGGTGCCTTCTCTGTTAGTGACTCATAGTCTCTAGGCAATAGCTTCTCCTTCAGGACCCCATGCCAGACAGCATAGCCAGGTTTTAAGGCCTATCCTGAAGGCTAGAAATAGGGGGCAGATCTAATTCTCTGTGACAAGATGTTCCCGAGGGCGGGAGCCATGGATTACACCAGCCGAAAGCTTCAAGAGGTATTAGATGTGTCCTTCTATGTGAATTTGCACGAGCATTTACTTTGTTCTACTTAATTTTCCAATATAATTAAGAGTATTAACTTTACCCTTTATATTTGTTTGGTTTTCTCTACCTAATAATTTTTGACTTGGAAATTTGTGAGTTTGTAAATTTCCATAGGGGACTTTCCTGGATTAGCAAACAATTTAGAAATAATCTAATGAATAAATAAAAGACCCACAGATAAAATGTAATCTAGAATACTGTACAAAGATTAATAAAATATGAAGTATATGTATTTTATAGCTTTAATTTATATTCATCTGGTTATGGTAATTGATCAGGATTTGGGTCATAAATCAGTGCAATTGTTAAGCAAGGTGCCCACCTGACTGTCTCGTTCAATGTCCACATCCCAGCTCTCCCCATCGCAGTCATTAAGCAGAGCGTGGGATGCCTCAAGGTGGGGGAGACCTGGGGAGGCTTGGCCCAGGCCGGTACTGAAGCACTTCCCAGCCCCAGCTCACACATGCTTTGCCCCACTCTGAGGCACCCTTGCACTGCTTTCCACCCCACTGGATCCCATAGCCTTGGGCCTTTTCTCCACTGTAAGAAACTGATATAGTGTTTCACACCCACCCCTTTATGTCTTGCTCTACTTATCTCTTCCAAACATTGCCTTTCCGAAAGAGTACCCAGCTGATGCCTTCCTACAGAGGCCCACTTGCACCATTCTGGAAGTGGTCACCATTCTCTCAATTTCTCAGAATGGCGGAGTGCACACATTTTGAATGCACAACTTGGAAAATCACATTCTTCTGAGTGGTTATGATAACGGCATCCACTTCCAGACTGGTCCCCACTTCCAGGATGGCATGAGGTAACTTGGTAGTAAGGCCATGCATTTCATTAGGCAGGGACTCTTTCAGAGCAAGATGTTCCAGGGTGGGGAGGAGGCCCAAGGCCTCTGGGACCCAGCAGGATGGGATGGGGGGAAGGTAGGTGGATAGAGGCAGTTGCCACATCCCTGTGGCTGGTCATTTGGGTGGGCAGATTGTCAAGCACTTGAATTTTTATCATGTGACCATAGAGGTGTTGCAGTAGTTGTAACTTCAATGACAAGTGGTATTCCCTTCCTTCAGCACTGTTCTAATTTCAAATGACAACTGAACAAATGGTTGTAAGTCAAGGAATGCTTGCATATGCAATTTTCAAAAAAAGGAATGAAGTTATGCATCTTACATAATACAGAATTTGAAAATGCTGTGTGAACACTATGGATTACAAAGGATGTAGCACTTTTATCAGCACATTTCTATAATAAATGAAGCCCACAATTTGATGGTATTTTTTAGGGCCTGCTCATTTTTGAGTTCTTTAGAATTCTCTGTGAGACTGATATGACATTAAAATCAGGGGAAGAAAGAAAAACAAAAACTAGGCCATATATTATGAACAAGGTCTGAAGTTTAGATTTTGTCTGAGGATGATGAATGTAGACAGAATTACCGGTAGTCATTCTGCTGAGCCACCTCCATCTGCATTTTTACATGACAACAGCATGAAGGCATCAGTATGGTCATAGAAGCCTGTTATTTGTGGGATTGTTTCCACCCTTCTTTGCCCGTCTGATATAAATAAAAAAATAAATATGCTTTGTGTCCCATTTATTAAGAAGCATCATTTTAGGAGACCCAGGAGATATGCCTTCTCCATTACCATAGCCAGAACAGCATTTCTCCCAATGGGGTGGACCCTACCTGTCTTTTAAAAGATTGAACATGGCTCCCCTGCAGGCTTTGGATTAAGAAATAATATTGAGCCCATTTTAAATGTTTGAATGGTTTACATTTAGCACATAGTTTGGATCCTACTAGTAGCATATTATTAATGTATTAAGTGTAAGATTGTATACTTCCATCTTATGCTCTGATTTTGCCTATTCAATCTTGCAACAACAAAAAAGTGATCATTTGATTCAATGCATTTTATATTATTATTTCATTGATTCCATTGATTCCATGCATCAATGTAATCAATTCTACTCTGGGCTTTTAAAAAGCAACCAAGTGAAATGAATAAAAGATGCATTGAAGCTTCTGAATGTTGGTGTTGGAGCAGAGTCAGGAGTACTATGGACAACTAAGAAAACAAATGTTTCATCAAACAAATCAACCCACGGTTTTTACTTGAGGCATAAATTATCAAGCTTCCATTATTCTACTTTGGGCACATTATGCAAATATCTAGCTGTTTGGAGAAAGGCCTAATGCTGGAAGGAAAAAGAAGAGGATGATTACTAGATAGATGGATTCAGTTACAGTAGAATTGGGTGCACCGTAGGAAGACCAAAGTGAGAGCAGTTCCTCCTGGAGAATATGTATGTGGTTGTTAAGAATTTACAGCAACTTAACAGCATATAATCAGTCAATCAATAGGACACAATACATATTTTATTTTTTTTAAAAAATCATAAAAACTAGATACATGCTTCAGAAAATTAGGTTTTTATATGTACATTTGCTGTTCTTGTCAAATGGCTGCCACAGAAACAACCTGTACTCCCACAAGCATCTGAGTCTGAGAGTAAATCCAATTGAATTCTTTGAGACTGAATTCCTACACCTACAACAAAGCACTAACCAACTGTTAAAAGGGGAGAGAATCTTTGGACAACTTCCTCTCCACTCTATTCTATCGTCAGTTTAATCATATCCCAATTTCATTCCAACTCTATTATCAGGATTCTGTGCTCACATAAGGTTTTTTATCAATACAGCTTCAACCCCTCCGCCCCTCCTTTTCCCAGAGCACGCAAGAATCTGTTCATTGTGCATTATTTTGTTTTAGTTTTCTGCTATTGAGAAAGGAAAAGCATTCAGATCTTAGTAAGCAGGTACAGTAGAATGGGGTCATATTGTTACCCACTACAATGGAAGCCTGGATGTGGCTGTGCAGTTTTAAAGACTCTCCTACATTTCTTTTAAGTTTAATATAAGGGAGGTTTAATTCAATCAAGTAAATACCCATAAACTATTGCAGAACATTTATTTCTGGTTGAGACTTAGATGCAAATATGATATTTGAAACTGGGCTACATAGGATAATTATTTGATCCCAACTCTTTCACGTCAAGCCAGAACATGAAATACAGAATTCCTTAACATCACTGACAGGACTATTGTTCATAATTATATCATTAGCATGCCCCGTTTTACCATGCACCACATTAATGACTTGCTTTTGATAACACTGCATTGTGATGACGTGAAGTTTCTATTCCATTGTGTACTAAATCATGGAGAAAGGTCCCTATAGTGAAAGAATGTGGTTGAATAAGGCATAGGAGCAGTTTGCTTCGCTCCCAAACACATACACGCAGCTTTTGTTCAGGTGAAGAAGGCTTTTGGACAACAACCATCCTTGTTATTGCCCTTTCTGGCCAGGATGGATTGCTTTTCCCTGCTTTTATGTAAAAAAAAAAAGCCACTAAATATGCAAACAAGGCAGATAACGAAATGAATGTTATAATATAGTTCATAGTGGTTGTTAAGGAATCTGGTGGAAGAAGTTAAGAAAATTTTTCCATAGGACAAACAGAAATAGGGGAAGGCCAAGAACTGCTTCTGCCTTTTAATAAATTGTTTCTCTTCCAATTTTCTTGCAGGGACCATTTTTACTATCCCCTAAATGTAACATAATTAACTAATAGCAATAGTACTTAGACTTATATACCGCTCCATAGTGCTTTACAGCTGAGGTCCCCAGCCCCCATGGGAACTGGCATGAACCTTGGATTGAGTGAACCTTCATCTGCACATGCGCAGGATATAGGTAGCATATGGAACCATATGCATATACCCTGGTCCGTGGGAATTTCCCCCCCCCACAGATCCTGTCCTTGGTGCCCAGAAGTTTGGGGTCACTGCTTTACAATACTCTCTTGAGCAGTTTACAATGTCAGCATATTGCCAACAATCTAGGTCCTCATTTTCCTGATCTCAGAAAGATGGAAGGTTGAGTCAACCTTGAGCCGGTCAGGATCGAACTCCTAGAAGTGGGCAGAATTAGTCTGCAATGCTGCATTCTAACCATTGCACCATCATGGCTCAGTAAGACCAAACCGTGGTCTTCTCTGTAGAGAATCTGGTGGGTTCTATTTCTTAGATACATGGAAAGGTGATAACGGGGGAGCCTTCTTCAACTCGCAACACTTCAGATGTTATAGAATGCAGTTTCTTCTATCAGCCCAGCTCAATATCTTATGATGGAATTTAACATTCACATTTAAACATTTATCTGAAGAGCTGGGATAGGGAAAGGCTGTGTAAGAACTCAAGCAGAGGTGGAACAGCACAGATAAGTATTATGACTTGAGTATGATAATTCCACTCTTAATTGTTGGAGGCATATCATATTTAAGCATCCCATTTTTGTGAAAAAAAGATTGAAAAAAATAATTAAAAGGTAAATTAATAGGTAGAAAGAACCTTGTCAAGGTCCCTCATGAGGATTTCTTTGAAGGCTAGATTTATAGAAATTCTAGATTACTAATTTTCTACAATTGTGAAGAAGAAATATTTTTGGTGAACGCAATGAACAAAGAGAGTATGGCTAACAATTTTAAGCCTTTTTAACCTTTTTAAATCAATGAGCATTTTAAAATAATACTATAGGCTTTCCCACCAAATGGCTGCCAAGATAAATGAGGTTAGTCACAAACATATTTTACTAGAAGGAAAATAAAACCCAAAGCTGCAGACACTGCCCGTTTTAATTTCCCAAAATGCTGTCAGAGACTTTGAGAGCCCAGCTATATTATTAGAAATTTAACGCTGGTGCTGTGTTTTAGAACATGCTAGCTTCCCAATCGTCGTTTACTAAATGAATGTAAATAAATACAATCAGGTAAGGTAGAGATATTTGGAGATGTTAAGAAATGTACTGGTAGGCACATTGCTGCTTCTGGCATCACATTAGGGACCAAAGCCTTAAGGCTTATACTATATTTGAAATACGGTAGCTAGAAAAAAATAAATGTATTCATTGACATTTCATTTGAAAGCACATGATACAGTACTTTCCTATTGTGACTGGAATGTTGCTGAATTAGGTAGCTGTATCAGAAATCAAGACTTGAAGGCACAAAATAATGCATGGAACTTAATTTTTACAGAAAAGCTGAAAAGCATTTAAGACAACGTTTAATTTAACAAGCCAGTGATTCTCAAGCTTTCCAACTGAAAACAGCTCTTTCTCTGTATTAGGAAAAAAAACACCTAAGTATTCCATTGATGTCAGTCAATCATTTATTTAGCAGGGCTAATATTTATTTAAAAAAGAAAAGGTGCCAGAATAGATGCATAATTTTAATATATTTTTTAAAAGAATTACCTCCTTTTATTTAGACATTGTGTGTGTGTTTTCATAGCAATAAAATATTATTGCTTATACTTATAAGCAATATATACTTATAACCCATATGAAACCCCTCAGCACTTAGTTTTTCATTTTGGGGAGGTTTAGCTTCCCCACATTCCCAAGGAATACATAGGGAAAAGAAGGCTACAATTTCAGCCACATCATTGTAGTAGCTAGACAGAAACGGAAGTGAAGCTATATGCCAAAAAGTGTGCCCACTAACAGAATTTTGCAGAATTTTTAATACCTATTCATAAGTAAATCCCACTAAATTTGTGGGATTACAATCAGGTAAATGGGTCCAAGATTTTGATTTTGATGCCAAATTGTTCCAATGCAGATGTCTATTATTTTTGCATTATTCACATAAATGACCACTCCCCATGTGGTCAGTTTTGTTATAAATGGGGGGGGGGGGAAATCTGCATGATTCAAATCAGAAAGAAGAAGAAAAAAAGGTAGGTAAACAGGAACCTCTGGGGAAAGAGGGAAATCGGAATGCTCTTGTTCAATTTCCTTATCTTTCCAGAAGCGTTTTCCTCTGCCAACTAAACACCACTCTGAGAAAAAGCCCAGTCTTTCTTCATTGTAGAGAAGCAGCTGTCTAGAACCCAGTTTGAGGACCACTGAGGTAGCTACTGCTAAATTAGGCTCTTTGATTCTCATGCTCTGAAAGACAGCATCCGTGGTTCAGAGTTTGTGGCACATGCCTCTTCTCCCATATCTGTTAGGAGGCAAAAAACAAACAAACCCTTCACCCCAAAATATGCAGAGTACTTAACCCCAATTCCCAAGGAGAATACTGCGATTCAGCAGGCTGTCCAGAGGCCACCCCCACTGCATTTCACAGACAATTGCAGGGTTTCTCTCGGAAGGCCAGGAGGTGATTCTGTCAATTTGAGATGTTAGCTCTGAAACAGCTGTCAGAAGCCACAGATGCCGCTGACATTAATTACGACAACTTCTGTTGGTTAAAAGCAGCTTCCAACCGTCTCTGTTTGGTGATACCATAAGATGATACAATAAGATTGACACATCTTATTGGAGGGAGAAGTGAAGTCTATTTTTTGTTTTTGTTTGTTTGTTTGGGCTAACATAGTTTTGCTCCCATCTCTAGATCGTAAAGAAGGCTCTGGGCTTCTCCGTCAGATAAATCCTGATGTCTCTCACTTTCTGCATCGTTTCCAAGGCACAACGGGTTCATAATGTAACGGTAGTCACTAGTCACAGCAGCAATTGCTCCTGTTTCCCCATTCAAGACTCCAAAAGGGCAATTCATGGTGACTTCGCTCCTGCAAGCTTCTTGGGATCTCCCAACATTGACATAAAGAGGGTCCTGGCTGTTTGAAAGCAATGACAGTCTTGCCAAAATCATTTCAAGCTGCAGTTTCAGAGCTCCAAAGCTTGGGCGTAGCTTGGGTTCCAAATGCCAGCATCTGCACATGAGATCGTAGCTGCAAGGCAAGTCAGAGGACAGAGTGCTGAGACAAAACAAAAAGAGCCATCTGCATTCCCCCTCCCTCTTGAAAATGGCTGCTGATATCATTAGCTCCATATCATAGGGATGGATACGGAGGCTATTGAATAATAGATATACATATTCTGTCCACTGGATGATTTCTCAAGAGACTTAAACTGAATCTACCTCATAATATTTTTGCACCTTTAGGCTTCATTTACCATCAGTTCCACAATTGTTGAATTGTTACTGTACTTAAATGATCTGCTCTGTGCGTTTATTAAGCACAGATCTGTTTTGGGGGGAATGCAATATTTTTTCTTCTTCCTAGCATTTTCCCACAAGTGCATGGTACACTTTTTTCAGATAAACCGAGTGTTGTATATAATAAATTAAATATGACTGTGAAACAATCACAAGTACTTTACTAAATTATAACTGGGATTATTTATGGCAATAGTAAATAAATATTAAAATAATGCAAGGTGGATAACCAGCAATCTTTAGGTCATATAGTTTTCTTTGTTTTTGATTCCTGGAATCCCCTTGAACTAAGACAGTGAATTTCATTGTAAATTTGTGAATTTTAGTCTTTTGGGAAATACATTGCAATGCTATATTAAGTCCTAGAATAGGCTTACCCTGTTTTAAAATTTCCAGAACTGGGAACTTTCAAAACTGAGAACAAAGGAGAATTATGGTCCTCTGTATGTATGAGGTGATAAGACCCCCGGACACTAAAATGCTTAATGTCTTTGACATACTGGAACTCATTCTCAATAAGCATGCATTATATATGCTCTAAAAGGAAACCAACCCTGGCTGTTCTTTGGAATGACAGATACTGAAGCTGAGGCTCAAATACTTTGGCCATCTAATGAGAAGAGAGGAGTCACTGGAAAAGACCCCAATGTTGGGAAAGATTTAAGGCAAAAGGAGAAGGGAAATGGCAGAGAATGAGATGGGTTTGGGACAGTGGAGATGAGGCTGTCTGGCTTGCTGTCCATGGGGTCATGAAGACATGACTTAGTGATTGTACAACACATAACAGCATATGTGCTGGGCATAACACATTTGTTACAGTGGGGTACCTCCATGTCTATTTTGGTTGCAAATATTTAAAGTAATTTAGAAACATTTCTTTAAAGCACACCAGATTTTTTTTCAAATTAAAAATATGTGGATGCAATCACACTCCTAGAGGCATGGTGCATTGGTAAGTAGGTTTTCCTGTTCAAACAGTGCTAAACTTGTTCAAAACATGACTATTCTTCTGCACATTTTTTTTTGCCAAAGCCTGGGTAAGAAAATAGGCCAATAAGCCACTCACATATCTTCGAGGCACTCTGGGGGCTGCTTCAGTCTGTTTCCACTGATGAGGTAGTTGTAAATTTCTGCATTTTCAATGCCTGCATATGGAGTTTGCCCTCGGGTCACAATTTCCCACATAGTCACACCAAATGCCCACTGAATTGGAATTGAAAGAGGTGAAGACAAAAAAGAATTACAAATATTTTCAACATAAAAGAAACAAGCGTTTTCAACTGTGTTTGACTCAGGAGAATGTCTGGTAATCAGTAGTGATTTGCATGAATGGGTTATTCTTTAGAACTCTTCAGCTTACGTGTGCGTGCGTGCGCGCGCGCATGTACAAAAATGTATATCCTGGGTGGTGGTTTTTATTTATGTTGACCACCAGGAGGCAGTATGTGGCAGTTTTTGTTTTATATGGAACAGATCTTACTATGGAATTTACACATTCTCCTGGGAACTGAATTCATGAACCCTTGTACTTAAAGCAGGGGTGTCAAACTGGAATTCTTCAAGGACCAGATCAGCATTGTAGTTCTTCTCTGTGGGCCAGCTTGGGGGGGGGGACAGCAGTGGCACAGGGGGTTGCAGCACCCTGCTGGCTAAAACGGGGTGTGGGGGTCCACACGCGGCCCCGTGCCTCGTTTTCACCCTCCATGGCCTCCTGGCAGCACTCTGCCGGGCAAAAGTGGGCTGCGCAGCCCATTTTTATCTGTTTTCAGCCTACTTTTCAGCCTGTTTGGGGCTCATTTTCAGCCCATTTTTGGCCTGTTTTGGCCCCATTTTTTGGCCCATTTTCGGCCAGCAGAGCGCTGTAGGAGGCCATGGAGGGTGAAAACAAGGCGCATGGGGGCTGCACACAGCCCATTTTAGCTGTTAGAGGCACCACGGGCCAGTCCTTTGATAGTTCCAGGCCGGCCTCATGGGCTGGATTTAAGCACCCCACAGGCCAGAGGCCCACAGGCCTTGAGTTTGACACCCCTGACTTAAAGTGATTGTGTACAGTGCATTACTTTTGAGAAACATCCATGTCTTGATACTTGCAAGAAAGGATCTACAGAGACTTCAGATTAGCATATACAGTCCACTTTCCTTTTCATTGAGAACTCAGAGAAGTGTAGGCGTTACATTCTAGGTACCCTGTTTCTCCAACAATACGGCCTCCCCCAATAGGTAGTCCCAGCATGTTTTATAGGCATGAAATGAAATTAAGCCCCTCCCCCCAAATTAAGGCCTATATTAAAACATGCGAAATGGGGGGGAATGGTGGGGGGGCTTGCCGTTAGGAAGTACTTTTGTTGCACACCCGGATATGGTGCTGCCTGCATTGACCCCAATATGAAGTGCCCCACCAACGCCGAGGTCAACATCCAAGCCATCGCTGCCCGCCCGCCCAAAGATGCAAGGGGGGGGGGGAATTAAGTCACCCCCGAAAAGACGGCCTTTTTTTCGGGGCTCAAAAAAAAAAAAGACCCGGCCTTATTATATGAGAAACACGGTAGTTCTCGCTTTATGACCATTCGTTCAGCGACTGATTGAAATTACGATAAGAGATGAATGAATGGACCTCAAAGTTACAGCCATTGCTTCATTTCTGCAGTCACATGCTCAAAATCTAGCTAGATGCACGTCAGTGGGAGAAAGAAGACCTTGGACATCAGCTGGGGTAGCAGGGGATGGCAGAGGGCAGCGGGGCCAAAAGAGCAGGGATTGAGGAAACATAGAAGGGGGGAGGAAACTGAAGTGGAGGCAAGCATGGCAGGGCAGGAGAAGCATGAGGCCCTCACCTAATGACCACAAGTGTGACTACTGGAGTGTGGGTGTTGCTAAACGGTACGATCACGTTTCACATAATGACCGCTTCACTTAGGCAACGGAAATTCTGCTCCCAATCAGGGATTTAAATCTGTATTTTCCGTCCTGCTATTACCAGATTTTGCATGATCAATATGGTATAATTCATCGTTGTATTTTATATATAGTACAGCATTTAAGCAAAGTGTAGATGCAAGCTTGGAATGATGTAATCGGCCATTATTGTGTAATAAACCAGAAGGGTGAGGTTACATAAAGAGAAGAGACCGTAGAAAATAAAGACATGATAAAATAGAAACCAGGAAAAACCAATGCAAAATGCTCCTGCAAGATTAGATTCGCAAGCTTCACAAACATTCCATGATCAAAAACATGGAGGTTTGCCCTATCTCATCCATAGGTTTCCAAGCGAAAGAGCACATTACAAATTTTGGAGCATGAAATGCTTCATTGAATGCTTGCGTATTGGGCATAGATTTATCTTCCAATTTTATTTTCTAAACATGCCTATGGGAGTCAAATATATAAAGAAATACCTATTATCTTGAGCCTTTTGCTCTTCAATATATACATTTTAATTAAAAGTTTTTTTTAAAAAAAAAACACCCCGCAGAGCATTAAACTTGATAGGTATCAAGGGTCCCATAGACAATCACAAATGCCATATTAAAAGACCTAAAATCTATTCTACCAATAAAACCTTTAATGCGCTGACTGGAGAAGATCCAAATCTCATTTCTACCGACTGCATGTTTCGAAGGAAGGTGTGAAAATAAGCTGCTATTTTCTTTAGGAATTATCTCTGTGATTGATTGTTTTGCAGACAAATTGTTGCAGCTTCAGATTCAGTCAAAAGTTAGCACATTCACTTTTCACGATCTTGTTCATGATGATACAGCAGAATAAATCTGTGCTGTGGTCTGGTTGGTTTGTACTCTTGACCCATATCAGCACTACAACTGTAGAGTTGTAATTGCAGGAATGTTCCAATCTCGGATGGCAAACCTCAGATAAAGAATGTTTCCAAGCAAATACAACTCAGGCAAACAAAGTCACTAATCTAAAGGAGGATTAGAGAGAGGAAGTAAACATATGTTAGACTTTAACTAGAGATAATTAATTGTATTAATTACTGTGCTAAACAGTAATGAAAGTTAAGCAGTAACCAAAGTTAACCAATGATGGAGGATAACTAAAAATGTGTATAAATGCAACACTAGACTCCAATAAAGATGATCATGATTCAGTTGTTCATGATCAAACAACTCGACTGCCTCGTCATTACAACATACAACAATTATTGTACAAAGATCATCAAAAACAAGCATGACTGGGATCACAAAACACCTAGCCAACAAAATAGAATAATAGATATTTCTTCATCTCACAGATAATTATGAAAGCAATGCACAAAAAGACAAAAAAAAATATCTCCACTCACCACATCGCTATGAGTTGTGTAGAGATTGTCCGCCAGACTTTCCAATGCAAGCCACTTCACTGGCAGCTTTGAGGCAGAGCCCTGACGGTAATAATCTCCACTATAGATTTTTTTTGAAAGCCCGAAATCAGCAACACAGACGTTCATGTTTTCATCCAGCCTAACAAAGACCAAAAAAGAAGGGGGGGACATGTAGGAGAATGAGCAGCAACTGAAAGAACACAGGAATAAGAAGGTTTAGTTTCTCTCCTTCAAGACTAGAGCTCTTTCTTTGTGCCAATGCAACATGCTCCCCAGGAACAGTTAGAGAAATAAAAGATGCTCAGGTTTTTGCTGAGCCAGAGTCTTGAGTGTTTAATGGCCGCCTACTGGTCCTCATGAGCTGACGTTCACAGTTGGCTATGCTCTGAAGAGGGAAAAGTAGGTGATTTGTTTCATGTTGCTTTTTCTCCATAAATGTATTTTATAATACAGTTACTCCTCGTGTATTTAATACTTTTCTCTACTGCAAAAGCTATGGCACTTTCCAGAGGAATTCTGGGGCTGGATCCTTGCTTTTAGGCAGTGACATCATGTATTTCTCATAGACAGCCTGAAAGAATTCGGTTAGTCAATAGTTTTGCCTTGAATACATTGTACCAAGCATTTTAAAGTACAAATTGTCTTTATTAAAAGAGTACCTATTTACAAATGCAGCAAGAATATGGATACACTACATACTTCTCATTTATTTAGTTGGAAAGGCCATAAGTAGTGGTATATTTGTGGGGTTTTCCCTTCCATATACAAATATGTAATTAAGCTGTAGAAAAGGAAGTAACTGTTCTGTCTTCCTGTCCTTCTGTTTTTCTGTCTGTCATCCATCCTTCCATCCATCCATCCTATCTGATTATTACCTCACTTTTATTCAGGGGTGAGAATCAAAAATCCCAACAACCGATTCTCTGCCTGATTGCTGGATGTGCATGGCCACGGTGTGCATGGCCTACTAAAACTTCCAGGAGGACTGTCTTTGGCCTTCCCCAGAGTCTCCCTCAGGCCTCTGGGAGGATGAAAATCGCCTCTCTGGGGCTCTGGAAGCCCTCCGGAAGCTGGAAACAGGCCTGTTTCCAAACTTCCAGAACTTCCGGGAGGGCCATTTTTCACACTCCCAGAGCCTTCACACGGACCCTGCGCTTACCTGCATCCAAAATGGGTCACGTGGAGACTCCTGGGAGGGGCGAGGTGGGTGGCAGGGGCCAGCTGGTCAGTTCAACTCCTGGTTCGGTGAAAGCCAGATGTAAATTTACATCCGGTGCACCCGAACTGGCCCTAACCAGCTGAATCCTACCTCTGCCTTTATTACGTGCATAAGCGCACCAACGTGCCTACCGTCCCTGTCCTATTGTTTCTCTTATTCTTCTTTTATTTTTCTTATATGTACCCATTTCATGTATTCACAACTATGTATACACTTATACTTATTATCTTGTAAACAATTGGCAAATCAAATAAATAAATAAATAAATTCAAGGCAACAAACATACACAATACTTCCTATTTTCCAACTCCTATGGTCCAATTCTGAATCAAGCGGTGTTATCTATGATATTCCTCCTTGGAACAATGCCATTTTTAGCCAATGGCTGGCTCAATTTGAAGGAAGTACTACATTGAAACATTCTTGCTTGTCACCCACACGTTAAGTGAAGAATAGAATAAAGCTGAGAGCAAGCAAGCATCTGTCAGCCCTTCAAAGTAGTCTAAACAAGAAACGTAAGTACTAATACCAACCTTATTGTAAGGTTAAGTTACAGAATCTCTCAAGTGTGAAAGCACTTCTTCCCTCCCTTGCCTTTACTTTTCAGAGAACAAGGAAGGGTTCCCTCTGCGATGCTTTTTCCAACCCACCCCCAGCCCCACCACCCATTCCTTCTGTGGATTGAAATATCTCTTGTCTGACCATTGCCCTGACTGGTTCTGCCTCCTGTCTCCCAAGGTTATTCTCACATCCCATTACAGTATCAACTACCAAAAGCACAGCACAGAATTTCAGCTGGATGGTGTTCCTAAATTCAATAAATCAGGGCACAGACGGTCATTGCTCCTCTTTCAGCAACCAGGCTAAAATGAATATCCTTAAAGAATACGTTGATGACCTTGTCCTAAATTGCTTGCCTTTCTCATTATTCTTTTGTTCATTCCAGAAAGGGAGAAAAGTGGAAGTATGCATTCTCTGAAACAGTGCAAATTCATCGGCTATCATACGAAAGAGATTTTTTTTCAATGCCTAATCATTCTAGTATTTTTGCTGAAGAAGCATCAGAATGTAGAAGTCAAGGATTTATTTGATGATGTTTGCTTTTCTAAATCAGAACATCGAAGTGGGAAGTACAGGTAATCCTCAACATACAACTGTTCGAAATTACAACAACCCGGTAGGTGACTTATGACCATTTTTCACACCTATGACTGTTGTAGCATCCCCATGGTCACACGATCAAAATTCAGATGCTCAACAAGTGACAATTTACAACAATTGCAGTGTCCCGGGGTTGTGTGATCCCCTTTTGCGACTTTCTGACAAGCAAAGTCAACGGTATTGAGTATTTTAGTATTTATTTGATTTGTCAATCGCTTACAAGATACAGGTATAAGAATAAATATAGTTTTGAATAAATGAGATAGATACTTATAAGAAAAATAAAAAACAATAGGGCAGGGATGGTAGGCACGATTGGTGCGCTTATGCACGCCCCCTACAGGCCTCTTAGGAAGGGGGTGAGGTCAATAGTAGACAGTCTAAGGTTAAAGTTTTTGGGGTTTGGGGAAGAAACCACAGAGTCAGGTAGAGTATTCCAGACATTGACCACTCTGTTGCTGAAGTCGTATTTTCTGCAGTCAAGTTTGGTGTGGTTAACCTTGAGTTTGTATCTATTGTGTGCTCTTGTATTGTTATGATTGAAGCTGAAGTATTCATTTGCAGGTAGGACATTGCAATGTATGATTTTATATACTATATTTAGATCGGACCGGAGGTGGCGTAGTTCTAGATTTTCTAGGTCTAGAGTTTCAAGTCTGGTGGCATAAGGTATTCTGCAACGAGTAGAGGAGGGGAAGCCAGATTCACTTAACAGCTGTGCTACTAACTTAACAGTTGTAGTGATTCACTTAACAACTGTGGCAAGAAAAGTCATAAAATGGGGCAAAATTCACTTAACTGCTTCACTTAAATTTGGGGTTTGATTGTGGTCGTAAGTTGAGGACTACCTGTATTTCAGAATAAGGTGTCAAGTATTTTATTTTAATCTCAGCCCCAATTCTCCCCCAAACAGGTACAGTTAGGCCTTCCCAATCCAGAGCCTCTAAATTCATTTTTTATGTACGCTTTAATTCTTTGATAAGGGCGTTGTGGACTTACATGCAGTTCCGAGCAGCTAGATCCCTATGTATAAAGTTTTTGGAGCTCAGGTATTCCATGCCACTAGCAATGTGAATCATAAACTTTAAGAGGGTCTGAAGTGGCAAACTCTGTAAAAAAAAAAAGAAGTACAGTGGAAGGTAGATTATTAAGAAGAAAATATAATATTTTATGCCACGAGTTCCAGAGATGACAAAACTAAAGTAGCACACAAAAATCTTAAATCCTACAACGGAAACAACCGTTTTGGTCTTTCATTAGGAGCGTTTAAAAATAAATGAATCAACAACACATGGAAAGCAGAAGCTCCCTCCACTGGTCATTTTAGAGGCCAAGTTACAACGAATTCCCTGCACCTAAGAAGCAGGACATCAGGAGAAGGGGCTTCTTTTTACTTTGCGCTGTATGTTTTCTCAACTGGCAAAACTTAAATAGGAACCTTTTCTCCTGGAAGAGCAAATAGGGTAATGTAGGAAAAGCCGCCCAACAACATTTAAATGATATCTATGATTTTTCTCATAAAAAGAATTGTTACTCCAAGAATCAGTAGGATGTTAATGTACAAGTATGAATTTCAATTTTCAATGTAATTTATTGCCGTCAAAGACCAATACAAACAAATAACATTGAAGACAGAGTTAAAATACATTTGTTAAATAACCTAACAAACATCTAATATGTTAAATCCAGGATACAGCCTACCGTATATTAGACTGTAATGTAAACAATAAAGTTATATTAAGCATGAAATCTAAAATTACAAAATAGTAAAGATATCTATTAATATCAGTGAAGTGGTAGTATCTAAAATTTAAACGAGTAATACTTATAGGAAATGTATTGTGGGATATTGGCCCACAAGAGTTCGACAAAATCTGCCATACAAAATCTAACTACATGTGCTGTAACAAGAGGTATTTTGTTTATAAGCAGCATCTGGGCAAGGGCTGAATCTGGGTGACCCGATATCTATTATGTCTCCCTAATGCTGGGTGTCAAACTTGATCACGTCATCAACGTATCACAACATTTTTTTGCCTTTGCGGAGCTGGGGGTGGGCGTGGCCTGTACATGACGCATCTGATCCGCAGGCTGCCAGTTTGACACCGCTGCCCTAATGGGAGCAGTGAAGAAGGCCACATTCTGTAGTTTCTACCTCTCCAGAATCACAGGGGCAAATGTTTTCAGCCAATGGAACTTCTTTATATTTAGCATCCACTACTGCAGAGGGGGAAGTGTGACATTGGGCAAGAGAGAATGGCTTAGGTGTTTCTAGCTGTGTACGGTAGCTGGCAGCAGTGACAATATATCTGTTGTGTACTGGTGACAGGTAGAGTTACAAATATCAATGTGTTTGGGGTGGTTTTTTAAATCCTTTATGTCCTCAAACCCTCCCAGTAAATATCTTAAAGCTTAACCTTGTTTTTACAACTGATCTAATCCAAACATTGCATATACTCTAACCTGACTGAGAAAAATACTTCAGTAAAAAAAACAAAAACCAAACAACACTATTGCACTTCAATTGCAGCATTATCAGTCTGAAGGCAAAGACTTTGCAAAGGTCAGCGCTAGTAAATAAATTTTTTTTTCATCCTAGTTAAGTCCAAGAATATTAAAGAATTCCTGGAAGCCTGGCATGATGGATGACAAATCAGCCATCGAAAGGTACATAGAGATAAACAACATCTACATATTGTTCAAAAGAGACAAGCAAAAGCAAAAAAAGGGGGGGAAACATCAAAAACCTGCTCACCAGATATCGACACCCAGATATGCAGAGATTAACACCAAGACTAGCACTGGATTAACAACCAAGCTGTAAACAACACCCCAATCAAGGAACTACCAACTCAGATAATCAAACATCACGCAACAGCCTAATCAAGGAAGCACCAAAAATATGCACACTAACACTGACAGGGCAAGCCACTTGTATATAAGAACAAACCACACTCTCTTCTAGCACTCATGATGTTACTTAACCTACCCTGTTTCTCCAACAATACGGCCTCCCCCAATAGGAAGTCCCAGCATGTTTTATAGGCATGAAATGAAATTAAGCCCCTCCTCCCAAATTAAGGCCTATATTAAAACATGCAAAATGGGGGGGAATGGTGGGGGGGGGGTTGCCATTAGGAAGTACTTTTGTTGCACACCCGGATATGGTGCTGCCTGCATTGACCCCGATACGAAGTGCCCCACCAACGCCGAGGTCAACATCCAAGCTGTCGCCGCCCACCCGCCTGAAGATGCAAGGGGGGGGGAATTAAGTCACCCCCGAAAAGACGGCCTAGCCATTTTTTCGGGGCTCAAAAAAAAAAAAAAGACCCGGCCTTATTATATGAGAAACACGGTAGTTACTTAACCAAGTTTCATCTATAAGAAAACAACTAAGCTCAGAGAGTCCCATGGACTCCTTAGTTCAGCCCTAAGCTGCAAATATTTTCTTCCAGAGGCATTCTTCCATGTTTTTCCGCTAGCACACATACAAAAATTAGCAAAGAGCACTTTAACTGCTATTGGCAACAACATAGCAATGGTACTTATATACCGTTTCACAGTGCTTTTACAGCCCTCTCTAAGCAGTTTAGAGAGTCAGCATATTGCCCCCAACAATCTGGGTCCTCATTTTACTGACCTCAGAAGGATGGAAGGCTGAGTCAACCTTGAGCTGGTCAGAATCAAACTCCTGGAGTGAGCAGTGAGTTAGCCTGCAATATTGCATTCTAACCACTGTGCCACTATGGCTCACATTGCTTTTGACCCCTGAAAAGCACATTTAGCATTTCTGGAATTAAAATTTAATGGCAGTTAGCACAGGAGTTTTAAAATAGTTGTGACTTCCCACATGTTTTATATGTTCAAAAGTGTTAACAATTTTCATTGTATGTAATGAATAGCCCACGTAAGACGCAGATTACTACAACTTGCTTTACAGGGAGCTCCACCTGATGACTATCCAGAAACTTCAACTGATTCAGAATACATCCCAAGCTACAATCCTACTTTGAGAGCTGCACTGATTCTCTGTTTGGTTCCAGGTGGAATTCAAGGTGTTAGATTGGATGATACTTTGAAAGTCCTACATACTCAGCCCTTGATGGTCTAAAATAGCTCTTTCCCCCAATTGCCCAGTATGATGTGACCTAAGAGTAAATTCACTTTAAATTTCTTCTCTCAAGAATGATCATCTTGAGAGGAGTCATGAGATAGGCTTTCTTAAATGCAACCCCTTGGATTAGCTTCCACCTTAAACTCTTACAAGCTTCAGGAAAGCCATTAAAACTTGGATGTTTAAGAAAACTCTGAGAGTAGAACTGATATAAACGGCAAGTCCCTTTATTGGTGTGTTTTGATGATTGTTCTTTAGATGCTGAAACTTTTTATAATTTTAGCTGTAATTGCTAATATTTATTTTATTGTTTGTTTTTAATTTTTTAACCAACTTACTGGAAGAGGAGAAATCAGAATCTTTTTGAATTGCAACAGCAAATACAGTAAGCAGCACTGCGAGCAACCAACTAAACAAATCAATAAATGACAATAGTTTATAACAGTGTAAGCAATAGAAGATCGATTAATCTCAGTCTTGCTTTAAGAGAAAAAAAACTTACAAAGGGGTTTTCTCCAATCCTGGACATTAGTAGAAAAGAGTGAAGGTCTCCATGCTTCATGAAGGGTAGGACAACCATTGGGATTGGAAGGCGACCTTTAGGCCGATTACGCAAACTGACCCCTGATTTGAGATAACGGAAATGTGCAGTTAGCAAGAACCACTATACCTGTAATAAATTATCATAAATATTTAGAATACCTCCTTCTTCACAAACTGCTGAAAATAACACTACATTCTGAGAGGGTAGCATTTCTAAACTGTTCAGGGGATTACTGCAGTTGATAAGTTAGTAACCTGGTTGTTAAGTGCATCTAGTTTCCCCATTGACTTTTCTTGTGAGAAGTCACGTGATCTTGGGACCCAGCAAAGGTCATAAATATGAGCCAGTTGCCAAGCATCTGAATTTTGATCACACGATCATGGGGATGCTGCAAAGGTCATAACTTTGAAAAAGGTCATAAGCCATATTTTTCCCTGCCATGGTAACTTTGAACAGTCACTAAATGAACTGCTGCAAATCAAGGACTTCCTGTATCAAAAACACTAGACATTCTTCAAATAACCTGACTTTTTATCTGGATCAAATAACATTCAAAAATACCACATGGTAACTCCAAACTGGAGAATATTTTCTTATTTGGACTCAGAAACATTCCATCTAAAGCAACAGGATGGTTTCAGCCTGACAGTTATATTTCTTAGCTATCACAACTACTTGCTTCCAACTTTGCAGCCTATTTATTGCCTCTCTTTCTTAGGTTCATTTTTGAGAACCAATATTTGTTGGAGAAATGAGGACTATCAAATAAGAAAAGTCTCCAGGAAGAATTATTTGAAATGTAACAATATACATATGCACTGAGAATGACTACACTCCAAATACTGTACATTGGTGACTACTGTTCCTTCTAATTTTTCAATTACATGGCCTGCTGAAAGCCTCGGTTAATTTTTTGTTTGGGTTTATTCTTGGTGTCCATTGTTGCTTTTAAAATTATTTGCTTATGTTGTTTTTCTATTGTTTCAACAGATTGCTAGACACCCAGGGTTTGATTTGTAAGATGGGCAGCCATATTGATAAGATTTATAAATTAATAAATTTCCATCTACAAATAAATTGTAAAATATATACTTTGGGATCTCTAGTGCAAACATTAAATGTGACAATGCTCACCTATTAATTTAGTAATGTGTGGATGGTTAAACTCCTTCATGCAAGCAGCTTCTTTCAAAAACTCCTCTATGTCATTGGAAGTGAAGATGTCAGCTAAAATAAAGAGAAGTACTACTGAGATTTCTTTTAAACTCATTGGGGACAAATTCAAGAAAAGGAGCAGAATGGACAAAGAACAGTTGGGAGTCTATAGGAAAAGCTGAAAAGTAAAACAGGTTAAATGAATAAGAATTCAAGACAGGCACAGTGCAATCTGTTTAGTCCATAGTACTGGTCATTAAATATAAGTCAGGTAGATTGGATATGAACAGTGTTATTAGTTATACTTTTATTTGGCATTTGTCAAACATTTAAGTTATGAAAAAAATGGGAATATAAATGTAACCATAGAGTACAGCATCATTACGCTATGCTGAGTGGGGCATATGGGAATTAAAAATCAACACATCTAGAGGGTGTCAGTCTGAAGGCTGTTGGTTTTGATGCTACACTTTGTTGTGCTTATATCTCTACTTTTTATGCTTGTATTGAAATTTTTAACCGTGTTCACTGCACTGGTGAGAAGGATGGCCATATATATTGAAATATAACAAATATGCATTCAAGGAATTTGTGTCAATTGTAGGCAATATGTAGAAAGGGAAAAAATGAGAAGAAAGGTAAACCACAGCCAACTACCGTATTTTTCAGACTGTAAGACTCACTAGACCATCTAGGTTTAGAGGAGGAAAACAAGAAAAAAAAATTGTTTTTTGCCTCCACGCATCCTGTTTTTGCCCTCCCTGGAGTCCAGAAGCACTCTGCAGGCCAAAAATGGGCCCAGCATCGAGGAGGCCAAAAACGGGACCTGTGCAGGGTTTAGGAGGCCAAAAAGAGCACGCTTTTGGACTGCAGAGTACTTCTGGATGCAGGGGAGGGCAAAAACATGACACACGGAGGGTTTGGGAGGCCCAAAACAGCACAGGGAGAAAGGAAAGCAATGGTGGCGGAAGGTCTCCTGATACAAAGTGCCCCACCAACGCTGAGGTCAACATCCAGGCCGTCGCCGCCCGCCCGCCCGAGGATGCAAGGGGGGGATTAAGTCACCCCCGAAAAGACGGCCTAGCTGTTTTTTCGGGGCTCAAAAAAAAAAAAAAAAGACCCGGCCTTATTATATGAGAAACACGGTATATAGTTTGGTGAGAATACACAAACTCAGAAAACGGAAGATTTATGGTGACAAAATGGCATGGAGACAGTTCAATTAATTTAGATTTACTCACCTTTTAGCATTTTCACTGCTACTTTCTGGAGAGAGCCATCAGGCATTTTCAATTGACCCTCCCTGACGGAACCAAATTCCCCTAATAAATTACAAAAAAAAAGGAAAGTAAAGGGGTATGGTAATTTAAAAAGCTCACTGCAGTTAAATTGCGGGAAACAAGACAACCACTTCATAAACACATGGCACAACATAGGAGAACAAACCCATCAGGACAAGATTCAGCAGTCCAGCTGCATTTAAAAGACAAAGGCCACTCTTTTGAAGATAGCAAAGTTTAGATTTTAGACATAAAGGACCTCTGGTTTGAATGAGGGTTTAAGGAAGCCATCTATGTCAAAATTGAACAACCATGACCTGGATGACTGAGAACCTCCATAGGCACTTCAGTTGAAGTTTGTTTTAGGATTTAGAGTAGAATGCTTAGGTTAAAAATTATAAAGATGTAAACTACTAAGTCAGAATTTCTTCCAGTCAAATATCTTCCTCCATGGGAATATTTTCTGAGAAGGAATATAAAAACCATAACATTTGCACTGAAAGTCTACAGATTTTTTCCTCCCAAGGAATTACAGAAAAACAGGAATCGATAGAAACCTAAGGTAGATAGAACCGAAGGTTTCTATCAGTAGCCAACTTATGCTGGAATCAATAGGACATAAAATGTTTAACTGCATTGTATATCAGGAGGTTTGATAAGGTGCTAGTAACAAGCTACAGCAATAATCTTCCTAAATTTCTCGATCCTCCAAAAATATTTCTGCTGCCATAACCTTCCCTATTAGCTTTCCTTCTATTCATTTCCTGCAGCTTTCACACATTTTGTGAATACATTCTCCAGTTCCACTTTTATGCTATTCTTTGTTTTTTTTCTAATCCTCATGTTCTTCGATACGGTGTATTCCTTATGTTCTCACAAATGCCTCTAATAATCACAATGTACAGGCAGGCCTGCATTTTTAGCCCCAGATAATTCAATCTGTCAGCCTCGATTCTCTTCTAAAAGCAGCAACAGAACGATGAATATTCCTGATTTAAAAGTTCCCATTCCTAGCTACATTCGGTTGTAACTATTGCAGTTTAGGTCTCTGCCATTTAGTGTGGCTAAATCCTTAGAAATCAAATATTTGCAAACAATATAGGGACTGAGCTTAAACAAAGTAAAGGCATTTTCTGTAAGCTTTGGGGAACTACTCACCCTTGCCTAGCATTCTTCCCAGAGTAAACTGTTGTTCCTGGATTAGGACATCTTTCAATTTGGTCTTCAATTCATCACTGATTCCTATACTATCCACTGGATAAACAGAAGAAAACAAGGGCAACTAGATTGGTATGCTTTTGATCCAAGAAACAATTAGTGTTGCATAATTTAGAATAATCTTCCCTCATCTTTGGCATTGAGATGTGTTAAATTACAAGTTCCCAATGTATTTGGATAGCACCACCTTTGATACCATGAGTAGAAAACATGGGAATTAAGGTTAGATGCACTGAAGGGCAACAGTTTGAGGAACACTAGGTAAGAGTATATGAAAAATGAACAAGCCAAAACAAAGAATTTGTTTTGGAAATAAATTCACTCTTACTCTCTAGGAAATAATTTCTTTTTTAGTCTTATAAACCACATAAAGCAACAAAGATGCAATAAAGTTGCTTTTTTCAGTGCTATAACATTTCAGTGTTTCAAATTATTTGCTCTACTTCCCTTGAATGGTAGAAAATACGAATTTAAAATCCAGCCATTCCCATCCTGGTCATCTCCACTTAATGCCTGGCAATTCTGGGAGTTATAGTCTGGAGAATACAAGTGGGGAAAGACCGCTTTAAACAGTATTTGTGAATCAACCTCAAAGATAGCACTTTATACTTCAGTCTGAAGCTAGCAAGCCCTGGCTTTTATGATATAATCAAGTTCCAAACAGCAGTACAATAGGTGAACTCTGATTTGAAATATAGTACAAATTTTTATTCACGGCTTCAGGCTTCACAGTTTGATCATCCTCCCCAGTTTATGTGAGAACAAGGGTCTCTATGGTCAGCTGGATTTATATCCCAATGAACATGTATAAGATATTCATTTTACTCATAAATAATTTGAATCAGGATTCAGCTAAAAAGAAGCAAAATGAAAACAGGCCCTTGATGACACGGTAATCCAGCTTTGTAGGACGCACCCCCCCCCAAGAAGTTAAAGGAGCATGGATAGGGGTACCAATTTTGCATAAGGCACGTTCTTATTTAGTCTTTCAATTTGGCAAATGAATAGAATATTACATGTATCATCAACAACATCATCATCATCATCACAATGTTATTAGGAAATGGTTTGACGGAGGAAGAGAACAGCACTTTAGTTAAGAGAATGGAAATACACTTGCTGAGGAAAGAGTCACATACATATTACTTACACGTTACTTCAATAAGCTCTGGGACTCGGTTGAATGATCGCACTGCTCTGAAATGGACTACAGGATCACCTCCAACCACACTGCCAAAGGCTTGACTAAACGGGGGGGGGGGGGGGGGGGGGCAAAGAACATCTCATAAAATGTACAAAATAGAGAAATCACAAAACCTAAGTTATGTACTTACTACAGACAACAGCTAAGAACCTCTTTATCTTGGCAATTATTTTATTTTTTCTGAGGCAGTACAAAAATATCAGAAGACCCAGGAAAATTGTTTCATACTTCCAAAGGGCCTCTGAAAAATAGTTACATTTACAATACAGTATTGTAAAGGATGGGAAAATGGAATTCCTCTAAGGCTTGATCTACTGCTTCTCCATTATTACCTATGCCACTCTCTTCTTATGGTTCCTTCTTTCCCTACCATCTTACTGGCAAAGTATTATATAGTCTAGAGGTCTTCAACCTTGGCAACTTTACGGCTTGTGGACTTCAACTCTGGGAGGCGGAGTTCTGGGAGTTGAAGTCCATAAGTCATAAAGTTGCCACGGTTGGAGACTTCTGATATAATCAGTGGCACAGGGGAATCTTGAAGCCAATTCTACAGGTTGTTGTCTGAAGGGCTGGTTGTGAAATGGAAAGACCAAGTAGGTCATCCGTCTTTCCATTCCACAAAGCAGGTATTTTAAGATTGCAATTCTCAATCAGGAGGACAAAGACTATCATATTTTCCATATGTGTGTGTGTGTGTGTGTGTGTGTGAGAGAGAGAGAGAGAGAGAGAGAGGGAGAGGGAGGGAGGGAGGGAGAAGGAGAGGGAGAGATAATATGAAAAAGAAAATGAAAGAATATACACAATATAAAGTGAAAATGAAATGCTTTACATGGTTAAAGGCTATGCCAGCTAAGGAATTCCGCTGACATATCAGTGGGCAACATTTTGAGAATCTCTGCACAAAAGAATATTGAAATTACAATGGGGATGATAAACAGCAAAAAAGGGGCTAAAAAGGCTTTTACCCAAATCGAGTTTCTTTTCTTCTTCTCCGTAGAAGAATTAGGGCTAAGGCAACTGCTGTAACCAGTGCAGTTAGAATTCCTAAAACCACAGGAACCCAGGATGTTCCATAAAGAGGCTGCCTTTGCCCCCCTGTTTAGAAAATACAATCCTTGTAAGAAAGCGAAATGTTTCGTTAGCCTATAGACATTTTCATCCATGAAAGAGCTTTAGCTCTAGAAGGAGGTTCACCAAGGGTATTCTAAATATCTCTAAAGTGATGTAGCAACATAGCCAACAGTGCTGTTGAAGTGATCTATCTCCATTTGGTCTGTTTCTGGACTAGCTATCCTTAGAAGAGAAGGCTGTGCCTTTGGTTTCATCAATCTTGCTAATTTTGTTCTTAGGTAAAGGCCGATTGTTCAAAGATGAAACTGGAATATGATGCCAACTTTATCTTGGAGATGTTCACAAGTCATATCACTCCACTCAGTGTGGCTCTTAGTTCCTCTGAAATGTTAAATGTAGCTTTTATGTATCAAAAATCTGTATTCCTCTGGTTTGAGAAAATATACCCATGCGGGAAACTTCCAGGAAGAAGTGAAAAATCAACTGCTTCCATTTGGAACAATTTCCCATTCCTCCACTTTATGCCCATACTCTCTTAATGCTTATTATGCAGGTAGTCCTCAACTTACAACAGTTTGTTTAGTGACCATTTGAAGTTACTTTACTGAAAAAAGTGACTTATGACCATTTTTCACACTTACAATGGTTGCATCATCCTCATGGTCATGTGATGAAAATTGAGGTGCTTGGCAACTGACTCACATTTATGACGGTTGCAGTGTCCTAGGGTCACGTGATCACCTTTTGTGACCTCCAGACAAGCAAAGTCAATGGAGAAGCCAGGTTCACTTAACAATCATCTTACTATCTTAAGAATTGCAGTGATGGCAAGAAAAATCGTAAAATGGTGCAAAACTCAACTTAACAAATGTCTCACTTAGCTACAGAAATTTTAGGCTCAATTGTGGTCATAAGTCGAGGACTACCTGTACAATGGATAATTAAATTTGAGATAATCTATCATAATTGAACATACTATAATGTTTATATAGTATTTGCAATGCATTTGTCAACTAAAAAGATACTCCTCTGGTCTTTTTAGCTGCCAGAAAAAGGGAGTGGGGGAAAACAAGGCCTTCCTTAAATGCCAAGATGGCAGCCCAAAGTTGTCGGAGCATAAGAAGGTTATTGGCGAGCATGATGGATGACTCTTGGAAATGGATGTGTCCCATTGGAGAAGTCACATCCAGGGGTGGGGGGGAAGACCAGGGTCAAGGGGGAAATGTATGATGTAATTTAGTATCGGCTGCATTCAGCTTACGTCAACATGGCCACTCCTAATAAATCAATTTACTTTTCTCTGAAATGCGGCTAGAGACTTTTGATTTGAATGAGGGTGGATTCGTTGGAGCCCTGACAGCATTATTTACACATTGTTGTAATTCAAAAGATTAGCAATTAACAATGGCTTCCTATAATTCTTTTATAACTAAGGGCAAAAACTGTCAGATACCCTGATCTGAGAATCCTTATAACCCATTCGGGGGCCAAAAAAAATTTCAAAGGCAGAAAATATCATTTCTATTTATCTAGGCCATATCATGCTTGCAGATTCTTTCAATCATTTTTAATAATATAGTAACACCAAACAATAGTAGGGGAGCCATTTGTATTATATTGCTCTTTTCCTTCATTTGTCCAACGTTCCCTTACACAGAAAATTTGTAATACTCCCAGCCAGTCCCTGCTTCTGCTAGATTGTTTGAAGCTGCTTGTTTCTCATCTGTGAAAACGTAATACATATGCAGCTGGGAATATTGGAAAGAGCACAGCCAGAGGAATACAATGGTACCAGCTCTCTCGCTGTTCCTCATCTGATGCACCATATTAACAACAGCCCATTTTCCTCAAACACAAACACTTCCTGCATTTGCCACTTACCTATTAAATCTTGGGATGTAAGCAGTAAGGGCTCACTCCAGGGTCCACAGCCGGCTGAACTGAGTATACAGACCTTGATTAGAAGGTCTTTTAAGGGATTCCACATAGAAAGGTTAGCTCTTGCTTCCTTCACAATCAATTCCCCCTATAACCAGAAAACCACAAATGGTGCATTGTCATTCAAGTGACACTTGTTCATTATTACTTTTGAATGAGAAAATCAATTTCTTCTGTTCCAAGTTATCTAATAATCTTGGGATCATGGTTTGTTGCACAGTCTAGTATTGTTATCTGCCCTTTCCAAAAGACAGTAGCTTGGACTTACTTGCTACAACCATAAGAAGTTATTTGTGTTTCCGGCATCTCCTGTTTGCTGACCTGAACTGTTTAGGTTGACAAGCAAAGCTATTCTAGGGCAATTCAGAGTCTGAACTGTTCTACTCCATGCAGCTGCTTGCAGTCATTGCCTAATTTTCCACCTTTATGAAATTCACTGGTTTTCATCAAATAAATTCTGTGCTTCAAAGCCCGGAAATCAAGACTTATGCATAGTCTTTGTCATACAGTTACATAGTAAATAACTGATGATTTGATTTTGCACTAAATTGTGGCATTATTTATTGCACAATTGAACTGTGGTCTCTGAGCCAAACCTACTTTGTATCCACGTAAGGATGGAATTACTGCAAAAAATATTATTTTCTAGTTTAGAAATAAAATGTTGTCCATAATGCAATAATGGGAGAAATTTAATTCCATCGTATTAAGAATTAAATCTTTCTTCCCAGATATCTCCTGCTCCCTACCCCAGTTCATGTATGATTGGTATATGTTTGTCTGGGGCTACTTGATAACTCAATTGTTTGCTATATCAGCAAACTATTACCACTGTTATTAAAAGAAAGGAGCAGTGTAGTAACAGTTAACAGAATCCCGATTCGGCTCCCTAAAAGTAGCTGACCAAATGCATTGGTAGACAATAGTCCTATCATTCCTAAGTTTAAAAAACCTGGGCACAAAATTACAATTTATATCTGGCATTCAAAGTCGCAAAAATCAGTAGTATCAGATAACAGAACAAGTTATCCTCAGCCTCTCACTGGTGAAAGAGTATGTGAGGTAGGGCATTAAACCGGAAAGTTCGTGTTGAGGCAGACAATTTTTTAGTCTATTCCTTACACAGGGTTTGCAGTCCAAAGAACAAATACAATATGCATGTCTAATATCTAAGCTGCCATGAAGAGAAGCGTATTCCAAGCATGAAAATTGTAAGGCTTCCTACATTCAGGTATGCCTTAAAAGAACTAGCATTACCTCTTCAATCCCTACTATTTCAATCCCTAATATTTCTTGCTTTCAGTCGTCCTAGCAAATCTATTCTTATCAGGGTGGCTAGTTTTTAATTTATACTCTCCAAGACTAAATCAGTTATATCTGTGCAAAGCAGTGTTATCCTTTCGGGAATATATTTGAAATGCCTCCACTTTTTAAGTATTTCTTTTGTTTTTTTGAGGGGAGCATAATTCTCCAGCCTTAATCAGCAAGTTAAACAAAACCAGATGCAGAATAAATGCACTGACAATACACAAAGAAACATTTCTCACTGCAAAACTGATCACCATTACTCAATGTGTGTATGCAACAAGCAGCACAGAGGTGGTATTCAACAGGTTCTGACCAGTTCTGGAGAACCGAGAGTGGAAATTTTTGAGTAGTTCAGAGAACCAGCAAATATCACCTCTGACTGGAGATTTTACCTTCCTTCCCCTGCCACGCCCACCAAGCCACACTCACAGAACCGGTAGTAAAAAAAATTTGAATCCTACCACTGAAGCAGCAGCCAAATTTTTAGTATGATAAATTTCGCAACTGCCACCATAAAAACACAAACCTTTGAATACACATCTTACCAATATGGAGACCCAACTGCTTTTATGGGCAGTTCTTTCTAACCAAGCTTCTTTTTTAATCATTCAAATTACCTTTTAGAACTCACTGACACAAGATGCAGTGAAATCTATTAGCAGTATTTTCAATTTATAAAGGTCATTTATCACTGGTAAGAAGGGTCTATGGGTTAATTAAACTTCTGTGTTTGGGCATTTAAGCATATTGCACAGTCATTATTATATTTTCCTGCTTGATCACTAGCTAGCTAAAGGATGATGGGGGTTGAAGAACAATCCATTGGCAGACTATATGGATAGAAAAGGTTCTCCTAAATAGACTTTGTCCTGCTTCATCAAGAGGATATGTTTCTCGGTTTATTACCTGAGTTATGTTATCTTGGCTCCACTCCAACCTGTATCCTAAGGTATTCTCCCCAAACATTGCTGGAGCTACTGCTTCCCATTCCAAAATCAGACAAGAATCTCTTTGGATAATGCGTACATTTTGTGGAGTACAATTTGGAGCTGCAAGGGAAAGAAAACCGCAATGTATCTGTTGTGCTGTTTAAGAGAGTGCTACTGAATGGCAAGCCTCAAAGGACAGAAGAGCTTTAGGAAACCCAAATATCCTAAATGCTATTAATAATCATTTATTAAATTTGTGGTTAAGTTCTACACAGTCTTCTAAAAGGTTTCCCACCTTTTCAACAAGCTCTAAATTTTATCCAGATGTGTGTTGGCCAGTAAAGAATTCTATTCTATCCTACTTGGAAGAACTAATAACAGCTTCAGAGTTTCCAATTAACTATACAATAGAAAGCAACAATCATGGAGGCCGATGATTGATTGCTTGAACCCGGCCCTGAGGTTTGCACATTCCTTACAATCTTTGTTTAATCAGACATGCAGTATATCTGTTCAATTAAATCAGGAAAGTTGCTATTTTCCAAATGTTTTCCGATTCAACAAAAAACAATATTTTTTAAGAGTTTCATGCACTCTATCCCTCTAAGTCTTACCTAATCCCAAGGTCTGAAAATAGACCCAATCTGAAAAAGGAGAGCTGCCCATCTCATTAGAACACTGAACTCGAACACTGTAATTGGTGGCGTGCTTTAAACCTGGCAAAGCCCGTGTAAAGGGAGGGACAGAGAAAACTTCGGTGACCACCTCATCCTGCAGCTCAGCCACCTGCTGGGATAAAGCAAAAACATGAACAAACAGATTCGTGGATTTCACATAAAATGCGTCATTTGACGAAAATCATAAATCCTTAGGAGAGTTGCATCAAATAAATGATGTATTACACATCATCTTGGCTTTGGGCCATTGACAGGCAGTGATGAATCCTTCAAACAGTTGAACCCTGTGAAACAGGAGAAAACTCTAGAATAATCAAAAGATTAGCATAATGATAACAGCAAACATACAAGGACCAAAAATTTGTGACTGGAGTAATCTAGTATTTTGAAAGCTATTGCCAATGGCTCATGGGCCTTGATGAACAAACAAGCGTATTCCATAAATACAACCTCAATCATTTCCTACCCTTACTTATAGCTTCAGTAAAACTGCAACGAAATGCACTAATGGAAAAAAAATGAGAAATCTCATACGTCCTACAATAGTTCTGAGATCTTACAGGTGAGACTTCTTGGAATTGCACTCACCTCTGGAGATCAACAAGAGGAGGAAAGCTACTACGTGAAAATAACCCTGCATTTTTAATCTCTCCGGCTAACTGGGCTTTGTACTTTGATGTCTTTTTTAAATTTTTTACCAACCTATTTTGCACATTTTTACTGATTCCCTTTTATCACGTCAGCCATCTCTCTTGGTTTCAAGGAGAAACTTGTTCAATTAGTCAAACAATTATTGTTTTAAAAAAATCCCACATTTTCATTTCACGTTAGGCATGCACACATATCTTTTCTTCCTGTATCAACACCAATGAATCTGTATACGTCCGTACTGTATGCATTATGGCTAGGGATGACAGTATGAGCGAGTCTGCTTTTCATAATGGTGCCTTTACAAGCATGTATTCAGCTTTTTTCTCTGGTCCTAGACAAATAACAATCCCTCCTTTCCTGCAAGCACCAGGGACTGCTAGTAGTAGAAAGATAGCTCAGAGGGTAGTAATGTTTACAAGTGACTGCACATTTGCATTTCTTTGCTGTGGTAACCCCCGTCTCTACTTGATCTTTTTATACTAGACCATGGCTGCCTCGCTAAACTTGACAGATCAGAGAATGAAATGCTTCTTTATTTTTCCCAGCATGGGACAGAAATGGATGTAAAGGGGAGGGATGGGGGAGGAGGGAATCCACTGTCTAAGAAGTTTGCAATTTGCTTCTCTCTCTGCTTCAGCCGTGGAAGAAATGATTGTAGGGAGGAGCCTGGAACTTAGAGAGATTAGCACTGTGTGCAGTGACCGATGGACGTGCACGTTAGGAAGAATAGGCTGTACCTAGTACAAGCAGGCAGAATTCTAATGTGCAAGAGGAAACTCATTCTAATCTGTCAAGTGTCCCAAGAAAACAGCCATAAACACTGTGCAGGGGAGGGTTGCATGCAGGGAGTAGAGGTAGAGCCATTAACTCAAAGGGCTCTTTGGTTTCTTGAAAGTCATAGATAAAAAGGCATTATAAAATAGACAAACTACAGCCTCTGCCTAGTTGCTCGTGCTTTCAAAGTTACAGTTTTCTTTGTCCTTCAGGATTAAGTATAAGCTGAGGCCAAAAGCACCTGGAGAAATTGCATTTAGTCCATGGCTCCATTACAGGACTGAGTTGAATCTAAAAAAAAACCAAGGCTTTAAAAACAACCATTCTGTTTTTCTTTCTTTCTTCCCCAGTTCTGTTTCTATAACATCACTCAAACACCTTGTTCTGTCAGCTTGATTAGTCCTAATCATAGTTGTGCCCATGCAGTCACCACAAATCAATGCCTCAAGCAGAGGCATTTTATCTTAATCAAGCAATCACTCAAATATTTTGGAAGAAGGTTATCTTTTAAATTTAAGAATACTGATTGCTATAACAACTCCCTGGAGGAGTCCAGGGTAAGCTACATTATAGAGATGAATCTGATCATTTAGAATAAAGGGGCTTAAATTCTCAGCTGAAATTCTCATCTCTCCTTATAGATGCCCAGACTGAAGAACTAAATACGTAATAAATTTGCAGTTCTGAACTCATCTGTCCAGGCTGACTCATGGCTTTCCGCAGCAAGAAATACAAAACATACTATTTATTTCAATATATATAGCACTTGCTTCAAGGATTGCAAAACTCCAGCCCAGTCATTTCTCTCAAAGTCACAAGTAAACAGCTTCATGCCACACCAGTCCTTTTCAAAAACAAAGTCCATAATTTCATAATTGAACTTATTCGTCCTGCTTCTAGCCAATTGTACTCCATGTAAATTCCTGAATTTTTAAAAAATATATAATGGCTTTGTTAGGCTCCTCAACAATAAATCTACTTAGCTGGTTTTTCTGTGTCCTTGGAAAGCTATTTTTGCAGTTTCTTGCCTAGTCAACCTGAAGGATCTCTAGTCCTTTCCCATCATCTCAATTGCTATTGAAAAAAGACACTAAACATTTTTTTCTGTGTTACGCTAATAAATTAATATAAGGAAAAGATACAAATCACAGATAAAATGTTTAAGTTCAAAATTAATCAAAGTGATAATAAAGAAGAAAAAGACTTGAATATTTTCTTGGGGGAAAAAGGCTGTTTCTAGTATGCTGCTCCTGGAAGGGAAGAGTTAATTTTTTTCTTCCTCCTGGACTGCAGTTGGTCTTTCAAACCTGTATTTTGTCAAAAAGGCTTGAAAAACACCTTCTGCTGAGGACTATAGGAAGCTTTTCCAAACCTAACTCTTCGTGATCAGCATCTTTAGCAGTTGACAACAAAATGGAATCATGTATATTATGTACTTGCATCCCAAAATCTGACACAAATACGTATGTTGCAATGATTGGTGGCCAACAGATCTAAATATATACTGTACATACATAAATTTGTATGATCAGACATTATCATTTTCCAATCCTTTCTTCACTCTATGGTAAAACTTTTCAAGGCAATTTTCAAGTATTTAGGAAATAAACATACAGGTAGCAGAAATCTTCAGTGCCCAAATAAGCTGTGAGAACTAGCAAATAAAATTTAACTGTCCAGTTTAAAAATCCCTGAAGAGTTACATTTATCGTGCCAACTCAACTAGTTTAAAAGAAAGTTACTGAGAATAAGTGAGCTTTACGGGATTTCCCAGACCTAAAAGAAAGGGGTTTCACCCAACAAAAGACAGCTGAAAGGGATTTTCCCTTTGCACTTGTTTCAGAGCCAGAGCTTTCAGAAAAATCTTATAACTCTAAATGCAGATGGAAAAAAATCCTTTGGGTAACTTGGCCTCAAACCATTTAAGCTTTAGAGCCTCACCAGTACTTTGAACCAAAATGAGAGTTCAACGGCAACCAGAGAAGCTAATGAAAGTACCAGTGTCATCTTGATCCCATTGTTACTTGGGTGAGCAATGTGATGAAATAATAGGGTACTTACACCCTACTAAGGCAAGTGAAGCGTTAAGAGGGTACTTCCTATAAGAGGACAGAAAAATAACAAACTGGAGAGATGTGCGTGCGCGCGCACACACACACACAACTGGCAGTAGACATTCGGTAATTATGATTGGATAGTGAAATCATGTGAAACAAGAAACTAATTCTGACCATTCTGACCAAACTAGTTCTGAACCTTTCAACAGAAACAGTTTATACTAATATCATCTATTCCAGGAGTGGCCATCTATTTCATTGAGGGCCACATCAGAGTTATATTTGACCGGGGGGGGGGCAGGGGGGCATGGCCAGCTCAACATCATTCGTGTCAGGGGCGCCTGTGGCGGCTTGAGTGCTCTGCCAGCAAAAATGGGCTCCCAAGCTCCATTTTTGGCTGTGCTGGCCTCCTGCCAGCCTCTGCCAGAGAAAACAGAGTTCAAGAGGGCAGCCCTCCTAAATTCCGTTTTTGCTGACAGAAGCACTGCAGGCTGATTATTTGCTGTTTCCAAGGTGGCCCCGCAGGCCAGATCTAAGCACCCTGTGGGCCAGATCCAGCTCACGGGCCTTGAGTTTGACACCCCTGAACTATTCAGACAATGTAGTTCTTGTTAAATAAAATGTTGAATGATCCACTAACAGTAAACAAAGAGACTGGCTATAATACTCTCCTCCCTGCCTACCACAAGAAGAGGAGAGAATACAAGTCTAAATTTATAATTTTGGAGTAGTGGCACAAGATTTTGAACTAATTATATCCCCATAAAACTTTGCAGAATATAGGCAACTTTTGAACAAATAAATTTAGCCACTTTCTCATCAACAGAAAATTCCAAAGCATCTTCAAAAACAAATCCAGGTGGAGTAAATCACAGTAGTCCAACCTAAATGTTAAATCCATGCATAAATCTTCTCTAGACATGGCCACAGCTGGTAGAGCAGATCACCTCAGGAAAAAAATTACTGCTATCATCAAAGTTGTCTCAACACTAAAAACTTAGGAGAACTCCTACACCGTATATTTGAATTTTAGAAGATATCTCTAATAACAACTGCAAATGTCTATTTCACATGGGCTTCTTTCCTACAGATAGTATCTCCATAGTATAAATTAAGTCTCAGCTTCTTCATTTCAGAGTGAGTATGACAGGCATTCATAGGTGTTGCTTTGGTCAACCCCAATTTTGGTTTTGGTCTGCCCACTGCTGGAATGCAGTCATGGAATGAATGCACGTCTTATGAGCGTATGTGTGCCTCAAAATGAAAAAAAAAAAAGGTCTCCACCCTTGTTTTGAGTGCTGTCTCTTATTCTTGACTCTGCCATGCCTCAGGACTTTGGCTTCTGGTGTTTCTGCTTCAGGGACACCTGCAGCTTAGTTTTGTCAACAACACATTGGAGAACTGTGTGAACAGGTTCAATCTGAGATGCAATTACCACAATCAATTGCTCCAATGCACGATCAGGTTGCAAAGCTTGTTATTGCCTATTGTTCAATGATTCCTGTTGGGACAGGCCTCAGAAGATTTGATGCTTGAGACAGAGCAGGAGCAGGCACGTGTTCCTCAGCCTTTCTGCAATATCCCCAACAACTAAGTGATTTTTGTACTTGAAGCAGAAAATCCCTCAAGTTCTCTGTCTTTATCTGAAACTCAACATGAAATGGTTCATTCATGATTTATATACTTCTTCCTGAAGCTCCACAACAATATAGCTTCAGAAATGCATTGTAATGTTTCCTATGGAGTTATGGGCCAAATGTTTTCTCATTGGCAAGAACTTTTATATCTGGGAATGTTTTTATTCCTCCCCTTTCCTGCAGTAAAGATGCCCCATTAGTATCCTCCTATGCCATTTCAAAGGGCACTCATGGTGATACTGACAAGGGATGTCCAGATGAAACCTGCAGTGTTTGTAAAACCAGGGCACGTAAAACATAAATATAACTTGTTCCAACACTGAATATGAAAGGTAGAAATGAAAACTTGACTGGTAGAACATTATGAAGCTGTAAGATTCAGCAAAGTAAAAGTAAAGTCCATTTTATTCGCTTTTTTTGGGGGCGGGGGAGGAATTAGCAGCAATACCCTAGCCTCAGTTATCCATAATATTAAATGTGATCCTAATTATATATATTTAATTATGGCATTAAAAAGATGCCATATTTTCTACTAGGATTTGATGCTAAATGGGGTCAAATAATGTCCTTTGACATTTAAAGGATTCAAAGGCCTATTAGGCCATCTCTGCCTTCAAATCAAAACCCCTTGTTGCCTGCATATCAGTAGTTGTAAAGATATACCAATTCCAATTTGGCTCACAGTCCACACTTCTGAACAAGATTTTGGTTTTTTTTTGAAAGTTTTATTTGGGTTTTCACAAAAACAAAATACAAATAAAACATCTTTTTTGAAAATAGCATGGTCCCAGGTTATCACTTCTTCATACAGACACCAAACTCAATTTCATGCTCATTTTTATATTCTATTCCATATCTTATTACCGTTTTATATTTTCTACATGGTTTTCCCCTCTTTTAATTTTCTCAACTTTATTTTAATTATCTCATCTCAATCAAATCATTATATTTATACTTTTGTCTGTCCTGTTTCAATTTCATATTATCTTTTCTTATTAAACAAATTTTTCCCTGTAGTTACCAATTGGAGTATGACACCTTTATATCTTTTAATTTTATCCATTCAAACTCTTATTTAAGCTTCAATGTATACCTTTAAGATTATAGCATTCAATATAATACATAACTTCCAATCGAATTCTGCTTGGTACATTCTTAAAATACACACTATATTCTTAAAAAGAAAAATATATATATGGCCTTCAGCTTTGTTCGGGTATTTTCCCACGTCATAGTAGTGGTGCTTTTAAAGTTGTAGCAACGTTTCAGCAGAATCTCATCTGCCATCATCAGGCTTCTGTATTGTGTCCATCTGTGAGTCAGACTTTTACAGTGGTTTCAGATTTAAATTTGGGGCAGCCTATTGCTGTGCCAGAATGGTTTTTTCTTCATCCTGATTGGTTGGGAGTCTTGGTCTGTGTTTATTGGTCTCGGAGTTTGCTGTGTTCTGCTTGAT